GAAAGAGAGTGGTTCGACCATCTTGACGAACGCCCGAACATGAATTCTCGGGATAAAAATATTCTCTGGAGAATGCTGCTTCGACAAAACTTCCAAACACGATGCAGCGATGGGAGCAATTATATACCTATGCGCTATATCAAGCGATTCTCGGTCGCGATTGACGGCGTCTCGTTAAAGCGATTTCATCCGGAACGTATTATTCGTGTATGTAAAACGATCGATGCGGTCGCTGCCGCCTCCATGGAATTTTTTCGTCACAAGACAGAAGAATTTTACACCATGTAAACCGCATTTCTCTCTCTTATGATAGGTAGCTCCTTTTATCGTCGATTTATTTGTCATTATTAAATTGTTCCGTATATATGTACGCGAATCATTGAGACCTAGAAAATTCTTAAATTTAAATAAACTAATTAAAAATTATTTTCTAAGAACTTCAATGTGTGTGTGTGGGGGGGGGGGGATAATCTAGTTCGTAGCTCTTTTCCGCAATAAACCCCATATTTAACTATGAATATTTTATTACTCACAATTGACAGATCAAATTCCTTTTAGTAAAACTACAAATTCTAACAAAATATATAATTTTGATTCCGACAAAACTTTCTCAACATGTCATCTATAACTATAACATGATAAAATATATTAAAATAGCTCATTTTTGCAACTTTAATCGCAAATTTCTCAAAATTGCGACATAATGGATGCAATTTGGAATCCGAAATCATTCAACGTCAATAAAACTACAGTAAATAATAACTCTTTTTCTCGTATTTGAAGAAAAAAGGTTATTGTTTGTTGACTGCGCAATTATCTTCAAACAAATATTGCTAGCATTTATGAAATAAATAAACCATGTGAAAAGTGTGTATCTCAATCATATTTCCAATATATATAAATAAAATAACATTCACAAATAATAATAATATGATTATAATTTAGATATTTAAATATTTTAAAACTTTATTGATCTATTATCGATAAATAGTACTTACAAAAAATCTGTGCAACATATATAAACTATTAAAATTCTCAGTTTTTTGTTTCTATCATAACTGTAATCTCGAAAATTAACAGATAATCTCTAAATCAAAATTAACCAAAATTGTCGGTCAGATGTGCCGTAAATTTGATGGAATCAGTAAGCGTGATCGCAATCTCTGAAGAATCGCGGTGGATTTGTACCCTCGACCGTGTCACCAAATCGCGTGAAACATGCAAATCAAGTCTCCCTCCCGCTGCGCTTGAGGGAGAAGGGGGAAAGGGGAAGAAAAGGGGTGAAATGCGCTGGTGAGAATTCACGCGCCTCGACATCTGGGACGGTTTCGGTAACTCGAAATTGTTCGCGATTTCAGCAAATTCCGAAGTTTGCAGAAGCGACTCGATACGAAACGCTATACAGATATACGTCACACATACGCGTACGTAAGTCGCGGACGATAGGATTAGCGGACAATGTCGAGCTGCGGCCGTGATCTTTCAGATAAACGAAGCCGGTATCAAAGGAATAACGGGACGAAATCTCGGGATCAATCTTGGTTAAATGCCACGAACCCGAATGGGAAGGATCATGCTGTTTCTGAATACTTGCCTCGCATCGCACTCTGGATGTGAATTACGTATTAGATTTGATCACTACATATACATATAAATGATTTATGTTATGTTTATTAGTATGGAATACATATACAAAGAACGGAGCATATGTTAATTTTAATTTATCTGATATATTAAATTATTATGCGAGAGAAAAACTTATTTTCATCTTCCTAATTTATATTAATATAAGCATATAAATAGTTATCAATTGATAAGTAATTTTGTTGCGAAAAAAAGGAATAGGAAAAAATCAGAGAAGAAATTCAAAATCTTATCCATGTCACAAGTAGTCTTGATTCTTTTAAATATATGTCTCATTGCTATCTATAAATTTACGCAATCTAGAATCGCGCCCATTGCACTCTATTTCGTCATTCTGAATCACAGGATCCTCTCGATGCGCATCATCATTTTCGCAGAATCGCGAATATAATAATTTATAAATAACATCCCTCTCTATCCAGTCACCCTCGGAAAATATCTTAAATAATTTAAATTATACATTGGCATGTTTTCTCTCTTGTAAAATCGAGGAACTGTGTTGTGAGATGCGCTTGATGTTTATTCTCGAGAACATCGTCTCGTAGACAAAATGACTCGAACGATACGAGGTAAACCGTGAAATATTTTGCGCACAAAATGTATACGATTCGTTACCGAGTATATTTGCGGTCCAAGTTGCGATCGTATCGTGCAAAGAGGCCACCACAGCAGAGGCGATTAAAACACAAGTTTACAAGTGTCGCGACACCAGGCACGGGAACGCGAGAGAAACTCGCCCGCGTAGGTAGAGCTTTCTAGTATTTAGGCTCACTAAATATAGCACAACTCGGCTATAAATCCCAGGGCTCCCTAGTCTCTCTCGCAGCCGACGTTTCCTTCGGACGACTGACGGTCGTTTCGTATACCATTGTATCGACAGATAAAATATGGTGGATCTCTATATAAGTGCAAAAATCAATTGATTTTTTTTTTTTTTTTTTTTTTTTTTAATAAGTTAGGAAAGCCTATGGAATGAGAAAAGAATGAATTTAATAATAAAATGATAATAAAATTATGTATATATATGATGCAACTAAATATATTTTTGATTGTATGAATCTTTGTCAATTTTTAAATATTTATTGATTATTTATAATTAATAAAGGGGATTACAGGGAATTATTTTCAATATCTGTGTCATTTATTTATTAAAAGCATGATCTTTAAAATTTGAAAAACTTGAAGCACTTAAAATGATCATTAAACCCTCAAAAATATAGTTATCTGTTGCAGAATTATCTTACCGCTAGAGAATCGATTTCAAATAAAATGCCTTTTGCGGATTTGCAACGTAGATTTACGGAAAGAATCGTCCGATTGATCACGTCGAAAATCAGGTCTTAAAATCAGGTTTCGTAAACTCCGTCTGCACGGCAAGAAAATCAATCGAAAACTCGACATGCTCGTTAATCGCAAAGAATTTGTCCGCGTAACAGCAATCTCCATGAACAATTTATTGTACGCGATAGTAGAATTACGGAGTCGGGAAAGCATCGACCGTAATATACTGTAACACGAATGTTTCAACAGATTTCTATCGCGAATAATTGTCATGTTACCACGTACGATCTGCGTGTAATTTACATGCGGCTTTGGTCGCTTCCGGGACTTGGAAGGGGCGGAATAAATGTGCCATTAGAGTGCTCGATAATTTTTCACTGTTCCAGTAATTTCGCACAATTTATGATGACTCACATCTTATAACGACTAACATCTTCTTTCGCATCTTCGTTAATGTGAAATGAATATAAAGTTTATTTTTATAATGCTAAGAAAACGATTATTATCATTAATATAAAATATCTATAGTTAAAAAACTAAAAGAGAAGAATATAATTTAAAATATTTCCTATATCGTTTGAAAAATAAAAACTGGAAGTATTAGAATTTATTCTAGAAAGCTAAAAGAATAATTAATCTTATTATTCTATCAATAGCGTAACAAATTTTCGATCGCTTCGAATGTTTTTCACAAAATTGAGAGAAATAAACGAGCTGATTCTCGGGGGAAAAAAACCTGCAGTTGATAGGTAGCGCCGAGATCGTAGAAAAGCTGCCCCCAAATAATCGTCGTTGTGTTGAATTCTTTTCATTCAGTAGCCTTGTTATTTTTTTATTGCACCCATGGTGCAATCGAAAGGCTTCGCGCTATGCATTATCCCTCTTAAATTGAGGAGGAGGACAAGGCTGCACAACCCCCGCTGCATTATATACATTGCTTCTACTCGGTGGATTTGCACCATCAAAGGTATAATTGCGTCGTTTGAGACTGGAATATTCTCGAATTGCCTGGGATATCTCGTTTTTCGCATAAAAGGCGTAGGCGTGGGATCGCCAGCTTTACGTGCGCTATTCTCTTCTCTATATCAATATATATGTATGTATAATCTACTCTTTCTTCCAGCAGCGTCATATGCGTTTTGTCTAAATAATCGTGTTCGATGTCGAATAAACGTTGGAGACTATAAATTTATTTATTATTCGCGATACAAAAAATATGCTCGTTTAATTAGACAAGTTACAATACACGAAAAATGATCGTAACATTTATATATTAGCAGCTTCAAAGTAATATAGCATATCATGGAACAATTCACTCTTCTGACTGTGATTTACAAAAAATTTAAATATTAAAATTGCGTTCATATTACTTTCAAATATATCAACTGAAAATTGGATGTAACATTTTCGAAAATATGATATTTATCTACGCGTTTCGAGAACATTTTCGCGAGAGTGCACATCAATTCGCGTTCGTGAATGTATCGCGGCGTTAGTTCATGAATAATTACAATTTATAAAGTACTCACCGCGATGCACATTTGCCGTTAGGGCCGAAAGGGTTCTCACTCTCTCTCTCTCTCTCTCTCTCTCTTTCTCTTTCTCTCTCATGAACCTCGACCTTTCAACCGCAGGTCACGGAGGGAGCTTCGTAGCAGTCCAGTGCCGTAGCATGCCGGCGAGCTGCAGCGCGTGGTGGGGCGACTCTGAGACACCGCGTCGATCGGCGTCGATCGCCTCCATCTGCTTGGCCGAGCAGCAATCGCTGGTGCGTCGCCGCAGGAGAAGAAGAAGAAGACGTGATCGTCGTCGTAGCACGGGAAGCACGGAGCTCGACACCAGCGACCGATGAGCGCGGGGGGGGATGGGGGCTCGGCGTTGGGCCCACCTGCCCGGCTGCCTGGGGCCCAGCCGACTGCCGCGACCCCCTCCACCGCGACCCCCCCCATTGTCGGCCAGCAATCAATCGTCGGTGGTGTCGGTGGCGTGCCGGATGCCGCACAGTTGGCGAACGCGCATCATCAATCGCCACCGCCGCCCCCGCAGTCGCAGACGGGCCCCGCCGGGGCCACCGGCGCTGCCTCCAAGTCGGCCCAGAAGAGGCCCGTCAGACGGGGTGGCAAGCCGCCGCCCGACAGGCCCGTCCGGGCGCTCTTCTGCCTGGCCCTCACGAACCCTCTTAGGAAGATGTGCATCAGCGTCGTGGAATGGAAGTATCCTTTGCTCTTGCGAGATTAAAAAAATAACAGCTATGCGACGCGACGGAGAATTGAAGATCAAAGTTTGGCAAACCGATATTTACGCGCTCTGACTTTAATAACTGCGCGTTAATCCCTCTTCCTTAGGCTGACCCTAATTCGAGTTCGGATAATGTCGGGGTTAATATTGGCGATGATTTCCGACGATGGAAAGGATTAACGCGCGAACGATCACCCTTATATTTTCCTTAATTCGCACGATTTTATCAATGTCATTTCGCAGACCTTTCGAGTGGCTCATCCTTATGACGATATTTGCGAACTGTGTCGCTTTGGCCGTCTATACGCCGTATCCTTATGGCGATTCCAACTTGACCAATCAGTACTTGGTGAGTACTTGATATATTTTTTATTATCACTTTTACTTTCTAGAGTATTTATAGAAACTTTAGAGAGATTTTATTTTTGTAAAAAAGATTTTTATTAAATAAAATTATTAGTTTTTTTTTTTCGTCGAGGGACTTCCCTTAAATAAAAACAGAAATTGAATAATCTAGCGCGCGCGTGTGTGTGTATGTATTATTTTATAACGCGCATCTATATTTAAGTAAAAATAGGAACCTCGAAAGAGACTAAAAATAATCGCGAGCAAACGGCAATCATCCCGTTATGAAAGGCGTCACCGGGAATCCCTTTGTGCGATTTCACTGAATGCGAAATAAAGCAATTTTACCAATCGTGATATATATATATATATGTACATATATACACAATATGTATATATGTATGTGCCTAAATCGATAAGTGGCCTCATGCAACAATAAGAGAGTAGCGGTCCCGTTCAACGAACCACGCGAACCTCTATCGAGTTATCGATTTCGAAACAGCACTGACGGGGTTGGTGGTATGAAACTTATTCGAGCTGAACGTTCAATAATTGTTCAATCTTGCTCGAGATCGGCGTGCATGGCACCCTGGGCGCTATAATTGGAAGGCGCAGTTTCACATGTAGGCCGCTGTAGCGCGAGGATTAATCGAGGATACTCCTTTCTTCCCTTCCCCCCTCCCTCGGGTGTCGGAAATGACTTCAAAAGTCATTCATAGTTATCAATATCGAAAGCCGCTCGAGCTCATTCACAGATAAGACTTGCGACATTCGGCTCAGCATCGTTTCAGCTTCGCATCAAAACTTGCGAAATTACTTATGCACGATGAGAAACGGCTCGCGTGTTAGCAGCAACTCGAAATTAAGTTTTACGTCGTATTATGCACGTACTAAAGTAGGATCGGCGTGTCGTGTCTCACCAAAGGGTGCGACATCGTTTTGCGTCATTCAAAGGCATCCCTTGCGCGCTAATTGATATCGAGAGGAAACTTCATTGAGATTGGACTAACGGAAAATTCGCGGAAAACTATCCGTATAAACGTGAAGTGAACTATATAGGTCTGTTAAATTAATAAATATGCAGAAAGATAGCAAAAACGTCATAAATTAAGAGTAAATAATAAATGACACGTGTAAGCGAAATTTGTAAAAAATCCTAAATTAAATAATTAGTAGAGTAAATGCAAAAAGAGATGCAAGAGACACAAATCATGTAAAGTGACTTAGAAAACAGGCAGATTTCACTCTTTCGTTAAAATTATATATTAATTTATTTTTTGCATTTTCTTATTTTTTTTCTGTCTCTCTCTATGTCATTCTTTGAGCATTCCTCTCTGAAAACCAGGGAACGGAAAACAACGCCTCCGGGAGAGATTCGCGAATTTAGTCGCAAACTCCAAAAAGTCGCAACTTTTAAGATCGATCTCTCTAGATCTTCTTTAAAAACTTCCAACTTTTTCATTCGCCGCCCGATACTCAATCGAGATAAAACTCCGACAACTGTGATATCTTTTATCACCACAAGATTATGAAACTATATCAAAAATTTGCAATACACACGTCGCTCCATATATGTATGTGTGTGAAAACATTTTTATGAATATCCGTTAATTTTCAAAAATAAAATAACAGAAAAAGATTTATTTTTTTTTGGTCTTGAACATAAAAAATCATGCTCACAGAAAGAAAGTAGTACTTAATATTTAAATATGAAATTATTTTTTCTCATTAATATATACACATATATAATATATTTAAAAATATTTCAGTGGTAAAGATTTTGCGATCAAACATCGCGTTTATAAAGTAGTCTCACATACAAAATTCCATACAAGTGCTAACTAGTGCATGCAGCACTCAAAGCGCAAATATATGGCGTAAATCAAACAGTCTAATCTCTCATACAGCATGAAATATTCGTTAGACCCGAACACGATCTGGCATTTAATATCGCAGCGGCGGATCTATTATTCGGCAGGAACATTTGCGAAATATCTACGGTCCTGGCCTTACCACCTGCTCTTTCCGTATTTCGCCCACGCGGTAGCCAATGTGTTAATCCTCATGTGAGTAAGAAAACTGTGCGTGATACAAATGCATTTTCTAATGAGAGCCGATTTAATAATGGAACGCATATGAAGCGTATTTTAATGAGAAGATCAACAATTAGTTAAAACAATCTAATTTATTAGAACGGTCTTTAGAGAATAAAGTTGACAAGTATATGAGATGCAAAAAAATTTATCACGTGATTAATATATATTTCACTTTTATTTCACTCGAACATATTTGTTAAATCAACGAACTATAACGAATTTTTATAAAAGAACTCTTAAAATAATAAAGAATACTTTCCGATCTGAAAAAATAATAAAGTAATAATTTACAAAAGCAAATTCTTGAAAATCATGCTATAAATTTGTCTAAAGTGCCAGACGTTCGTATATCTTCCAAAAAGAAAAATAAATTCGTAATAAAAGAAATAATAAAGTATTAAAAAGGAGAGCGAGTGAACAGGGAAGAGAAAGAGAGAGAGAGAGAGAGAGAGAGAGAGAGAAAGATAGAGTGAGAAACAACGCGATCCGTCAAAACTTTGGGAACTTTCTACACAACTTTGCGCCCTCAAAGTCACGTAACGGCGCCCACGTGTCATGCATCGGCGAGCAATACGAACGATATAATGTGCGCTCGAGCTTATTTCAGCGAACCGATAATCGATCGATTTCGGAAATTAGACGCAATGGATGCCGCGCAGAGGGGGAGAGAGAGAGAGAGAGAGAGAGAGAGAGAGAGATAGCGAGAATTCGTGTCCTCTCTCTGTGATCGTGTATCCGCACCTTTCAACTTCCCCTTTAACGTCCACCATACCCCCTGTATATCTTCTCTCTTCGTACGGCAGCTTTTTTCCCCACCTCTAATGTGTAGCGAGCGAGCGTTCTCTCTTCGGCCTTATTTTTAACCCTCCGCTTCTTCCTTTTGTTTCGCCTGTTTTTCTCACCAAGGCCTATACCGTTCTTCTCCCCCCTTCCTCCCCTTTCCTGTAACCGCAACCATGCCATGCGTCGATTAATCCTTTTGCGCGATAGCTGGCGATGCTGTTGATACTGCTGCCTATGAATCACTCTAATGAGGGGGATGATCAACGTCGAAAAGTTAGTCTTAAATTCACATTTTCTAAGACACGTGTTTACTTTTGCATTTTTTGTACAATTAAAAGATACTATTAATTTCTTAAGAATTGTGGTCATTTTCTGTTTTATAAATGTATTCCGTGAAAATTACATCAGACTTTTTTGCTATGTCGCAATCGTGAGTTTATTAATTTTTATCATTCATGTATATATAATTTCAATTACCCGTCACTTGTAAAATATGATATGGTAAAAGTTTAAGAGTGTTATACAGTTTTGCGGCTTACATGGTAAGTAATTAATTCCGCGACTTGATAATGAGTTGATCAAAGTTTCGAAATTTGGAGAGACTGCCTTCCGCTAAAGTCTCTTTGCTCCTTTAAACTAACCGCGGCGGAGTAAAGTTAAAGAGATATTAAAACAAAAAAAGAAAAAGACAAGAAAATAGCAACAGGTTATTCGTTCTATAGAGAAAAAAAAGACGCGAGTGTTCACAAGTTCCATGTAAAAAATATCGGCGCGAGTTGACACCCTCTTCTGTATAAATGGCGATCACGTTCTCGTCGTAACTCGTCGTAATCCAACTGCAACGCGACGCTCGTGCTTTAAATGTTTAACGTCCGTGTGCGCGTTTGCGCAAAACATTGTCTTCTCGAGCTCGTTTTTAATTGCAATTCGCCGCAATTTGTTCCCGTTGCTTTCAATTACCCTCGCTTGACGAACGTGTCCCGCGGCCAAATTGCGGCAATGCATCTTATCGCTCGATACTTATCAATCGTAGCCTCTTTCCAATTATTTTATTGAGAATAAAATCCTGTTTGTAACTTTTGCTTTGGATGCTCTTTTAGAATCGACGCTAATAAGTATATCTTTTCCTATTTTTTACGACAATTTTTCTTACGTTATGTTGCAGGAAAAGATAGAGTACATTTTTCTTGTGATTTTTACGGCGGAGTGCGTGATGAAGATCATAGCTTATGGCTTTGTCGCTCATCCGGGAGCTTATCTCCGCAACGGTTGGAACTTGCTGGATTTCACGATAGTCGTAATTGGGTGAGTACATCAGTTTAATAAATCTCCACATTTATTTAATGTTTTGTCCACAGAAAAGTGAAGAATCGATTTTAATTCATGAAAAAAATTGAAAGAAATTTATTGCAATTTTTATTCTGATAGAATTAAATTCACGGATAAAATATTTTTATTTATTACATTTACAAACTCAATATATTGTAAATCGGATTTGCTCTAATTGAATTAAATTAATATTAGAATTAAATACGTTAGCGAATTTCTTATCCGATATATCTTCATTTACTAACACATTTTTAAAAGAAGCTAAGCGCTTCTCTAAGCTAAGGATATCTTTCTCCTTAAATATCCGTCTCTTTTTATTTGAATTTTCTAACGAAAAATCGGTTAAAGATCGAGCACTTACGACGTTTCAATGTTACACTCGGCGTTTGTTTTCTGATAAAGTCGTTTTCCTCCGAATTCGACGAGCGAGAGTCAATAAAGGTATATATAACATCTAACAACTTGTATCAATTGCAAGCTAATTGGATCAATGTCGATGTAATCGATAGTGCGTGGTGATCATATACACTTAGCCGTTGGATAGTTTGCATCTGTTAATGTTTTCCCACACACAATATCGATAACGTCCACCAAAATTCACGAATGGCAATGGCAAATCACATAACTCGATTACCTTGGAATATTCGCTTGGCGATCAATATTGAACATTAATATTAAAAATATAGGAATAAGTTATTTTCGCAACTCAATATATTAAAAAAATTCAAATATAATTATACATAATTATACATAATATAAAAAAAATATATAAGATAATTTTATACATATTATGGGGATGGAGAAAGAGAGGGGAGAAAAAATTATCGATTACTGTTTCATACAACAGTATCATAAAAAGCCCTTTCTAGCAAGCTTAAACATTTATAAGAGTTGGAGAGGCGAGTCTTATAAATACTAAAGCAATTTCTTACTATATACTGATTATGCAGGAAGCACCTGAACAAAGTTACTCTCTTCGAAGTTATCGGAGTATTTTCATGTTTTCGCGTATGCATTAAAAAGCCAGCGAACGTAAGTTAAAAAGGCGAAAAATTGTAAAACTTTACACTTCATTTTATAAAAAAGAGCGCGCGGGCATCTAAAGCTGCGAAGTTGATGAAATTGATTCGAGATTGATTCACAAACAAAAACCGATTCCTCGGTATATTTCGCGGAGCGTAATCGTTCCCGGAAGAAAGAAAGGAAGGAAGGAAGGAAATCGAAAAATCTTGGTCGCGATCGGCGCAACCGAACATCGTACTCGGATTATTACACGCACTAAGGCGGGTTAGAGAATTAATTTGTGATATAATCTGGGCGTGCTCGAGCGATCGGGCAACGTAATGTCGCGACTCATGCGTGTAAATCAAATCCGGCCCGGTATAACAACGTGCGCACGATCGGTGATTGAAAATTCATGAGCGCCGTTCAAGTCTCGATAATACTCCCAATAGGTCTGTCCCCCTCTTTACACGGTGGTCGAGCGCCGATCGAGTTTCCATCGTAATTAATATCTCGGCAAATTGCTTCTACACGCGGAGAATTTGTACTCGCGACTATTGACGCGTAAATTGGTGTTGAGATAATTTTCGGAAAATACGTACTTTCATCTCGAAAATCATAAAAGATGCGACATCGCGTATTTTCGATATTTCGTGAAAATATTCTGATTCCGTTCTCTTTCAGAAGTTCCGCGGATAGAAAAGTATTAAAAATCGCGATTATCCCGGTATCATAATCCATCCGCGCCAGAATTCCGATACATGACCCTTATATGCATCTATTACTACTACAATATATCACGTACGCGCTATATATACATGACGTAAATAATGGTACCCTATTTACGCGATCACATCGATTTTTACAGAGTAAAAAGATGAGAGAGAAGCCGCCAGACACACGCACGCATGTTATATAAAAATGAGAAATTGACAAGCAGAGCATATCGAAATCAAACCTTCCTCGCGCTGTTTCCTCCGGTTAATGATCCGCGATCGCCGTGACGCGAATTTATTTATTCCGCGTGAAGGATTGTTCGCGAAAATCTATCCCGGATTATGGCGTTTCGTATCGACAAGCGTAACTATGTACCTATTTTCGCTGGACCGAAAAATGGCAAGGCGAAGGAAGGGGATTTGGCGAGGGACTCTGAGGGAGAACTCCCAGCTTAGCCTCTTAACACACTTTACGCCGGGACAGCTATTTTAGATATGATTCAACCGCGAGACGCGGACACGAAACTAACGTCTAATTATTATTAGCGCGAGGGACGCGCGCGCGCGCGATTTGCATGCCGCACGGCAAACAGCTGATTCACGGGAATGCGTAAAATAGCGGGTGGACGTCGCCGGGCCCGGGCGATACAAAAAGATGCGTCGAGATGCGACGAGGAAGAGAGAAAAAACAAATTCACGCAAACTCATGTCCCAAGCTTCTTTTCGATAAAGTTACACAACTTTTTTTCTTCTAGTTTTTTTTTGCTTATCTCTGTGTAAAGTAAGAATTAATTTATATCAGATTATATTAATTGATACATTGTGGTTATATATATATATTCTTTATGTTCTATCATTTTCATATAAATATACAGCATCGTAAAGAATCGCCAGTGTTAATCTCTAAATAATCAATTAGAATAATTGTGCTTTCACTAATTAAAATTTATAATAATTATTTTTATGACATGCTAGATATTTCTTTACCCTATATTTATGTGTACTATTTGTATGAAAATTAATTATATTTTCGGAAAATACGTACTTTCATCTCGAAAATCATAAAAGATGCGACATCGCGTATTTTCGATATTTCGTGAAAATATTCTGATTCCGTTCTCTTTCAGAAGTTCCGCGGATAGAAAAGTATTAAAAATCGCGATTATCCCGGTATCATAATCCATCCGCGCCAGAATTCCGATACATGACCCTTATATGCATCTATTACTACTACAATATATCACGTACGCGCTATATATACATGACGTAAATAATGGTACCCTATTTACGCGATCACATCGATTTTTACAGAGTAAAAAGATGAGAGAGAAGCCGCCAGACACACGCACGCATGTTATATAAAAATGAGAAATTGACAAGCAGAGCATATCGAAATCAAACCTTCCTCGCGCTGTTTCCTCCGGTTAATGATCCGCGATCGCCGTGACGCGAATTTATTTATTCCGCGTGAAGGATTGTTCGCGAAAATCTATCCCGGATTATGGCGTTTCGTATCGACAAGCGTAACTATGTACCTATTTTCGCTAGACGCACGCTTCGCGTAGAACCAACGTGATGCGATGCTTCCTCTCCCGCCTGATAACTTTATCGCTCTCGGTTAACGACACGGCGAATCGATCCGTCTTAATGTCCCGCGGGAGAGAACATGCGCATCCACATCTTTCTCTCTTTCTCTTCTACCCTCCGAATCGACCGTTATGCAAGGGCCATTATTCAAATGACATGCAGCCTAATGTACGAGGAAAATGCAGTCGTCGGTAACATTCGAAATTGTCTCATCGGGCGAGATCATTTCCTTCCGGTTGGCGGATTTATTCGGTTCGCTTCGTTTGCGATAACGTCATAAACTTCGCGGTATGTTGAATATTTGCGGAAACGATAATTTAAAAACGTGACGTCAAGAAAAAAAAAAAAATTAATTGGTACCAGACATGTAATAATTTCGGGGAAGGGTATCTAAAAAAAAAAAAAAAGATCGCGATATCTCTCGTTTATTTAAGAGATATTTAAGGGAGGAGAGCTTCCTTCTCCTTCTTTTATGCCTCATAAATGCCGCCATACGGCGTTGATAATACTATTAGCCTTGGCACAGAAAGCTCTTTTCTTCAGGGACAAATTATCTTCTGGGAAAATGACTTTCATGCCTACGTTATAAAGTCTTAATTTTATCATCAAGTCGTTAATCCTTGCCTGCTGTATAGAAAATTTTTTTGCGTTTCTCTTTGTAGGATGATAAGCACGGTGCTGATGATTATTATGAAGGAGGGTTTCGACATCAAGGCCTTAAGGGCGTTTCGTGTTCTACGTCCTCTCAGGCTGGTTTCCGGTGTTCCAAGTAAGACTTTTCGCTCAAAATATCGATTTTGTCGCGAGTAACATCAAGAAAATAAGCTAATTAAATTCAATTTGGACACAATTTATAAAATGTTAAAATAATCATAGTTATTTCGCTGGAATATGTTATTTAATTGTTTAAAGATTTAATAATAATTAATGTATGAGAGAAACGCGCACGCATAATTGATAGAGATAAATTGATTCGTCATCTATGTAGGTCTTCAGGTGGTCCTAAACTCTATTTTGAGGGCGATGGTACCACTTTTGCACATTGCTTTATTAGTTCTCTTCGTCATCATCATTTACGCCATCATCGGCCTCGAGCTGTTCTCCGGAAAGATGCACAAAACATGCAGGCACAACATAACTGGTAAGTGCACGTTCCAGAATTGCTACGTGCCCTGATAAAAATTTAACGGATAACGTGCTTGGCAACTCTCACGATGGCGAGCGTATCGCGGATCGATGTTTGTGCGCGGACACTCTCAAATTTATTAAATTTTGGATCTCTCTCTGATTCAGATATTCGGTTAAGAAATTCAATTTAGATATTATCTTATATAATGTTATTTTATATAACTAATTTATTTGCCATATATAACTAAAAATTAACAATATTTCCGAAAATCTCTCTAAACTCTTTATTAAATCTAAACTAACAATAAATTTAAATAAATAAATATATAATATATAGAATTTATATAGTACACATAATATATATCTCAAGGACATTATTCTTTCATTTGAAAAAAATTGAGAAATTTGTCTGTATTCGTCCGTCATAAAGAATTAACGAGAAGTTAAAATGCGGAATGTTCCTTGGATCTGTTAGATTATTTAGGAATCGCGTAGATCTTGGTAAGGTTCATTCCCGTGGGATTCGACGAAAAAATCGGATACGTTGGGACCGAAAAATAACAAGACGAAGGAAGGGGATTTGGCGAGGGACTCTGAGGGAGAACTCCCAGCTTAGCCTCTTAACACACTTTACGCCGGGACAGCTATTTTAGATATGATTCAACCGCGAGACGCGGACACGAAACTAACGTCTAATTATTATTAGCGCGAGGGACGCGCGCGCGCGCGATTTGCATGCCGCACGGCAAACAGCTGATTCACGGGAATGCGTAAAATAGCGGGTGGACGTCGCCGGGCCCGGGCGATACAAAAAGATGCGTCGAGATGCGACGAGGAAGAGAGAAAAAACAAATTCACGCAAACTCATGTCCCAAGCTTCTTTTCGATAAAGTTACACAACTTTTTTTCTTCTAGTTTTTTTTTGCTTATCTCTGTGTAAAGTAAGAATTAATTTATATCAGATTATATTAATTGATACATTGTGGTTATATATATATATTCTTTATGTTCTATCATTTTCATATAAATATACAGCATCGTAAAGAATCGCCAGTGTTAATCTCTAAATAATCAATTAGAATAATTGTGCTTTCACTAATTAAAATTTATAATAATTATTTTTATGACATGCTAGATATTTCTTTACCCTATATTTATGTGTACTATTTGTATGAAAATTAATTATATTCATTATTTTAATTTGATAAGAGATCCAGATACGATTTGCCGTGTTAGATGAGTTGGCTCAAGTGTATTTAAAGTTTAACGAAGCAACGGGCTTAATGAAGCTCCTTTAATTGACCTATGTGCCGGAGAAGCACGAGACAGAAAGATCGATAAATCGCGTTAGCGAAGGAGAAAAAGTGTTAGTCTCGAGCCACTTTGCATAAATATACGTATAGAGAGTAGTAATATACAGTAATGTGCAAACATTTTAACGGTGTATTACGACAAACATTAAACTCGTTGCTCTCGGAATCAATTAGAAGTTTTTAAGGCCGTGCGCTTATACACGGAGGCCAATCTTATTACGGCTCCGCAGCCGCCGTTTATCCCGCCTGGATTAAAAATTCGTTTCCCCTTTGTATCGCAGATGAGATAATGGACGATCCGCATCCTTGCGGCGACATGGGCTACCAGTGCTCTGCCTACGGATCCGATTACTATTGCAGCAAACAATTCTGGGAGGGTCCCAACTACGGTATCACGAATTTCGACAATTTTGGATTGGCTATGCTCACCGTCTTCCAATGTGTCACTCTTGAAGGATGGACGGATGTGCTTTATCATGTAAAATCTCCCATACGCGATATCTCTTGTCAAACGAAATTTTCACGGAGAAAACGTAGACTCACGTTATACTTGAACAGGATATCTACTCGAATTTCGTAAAAAAATTTTTTAAGAATGATTCTGATCTAATTCTCCAAATATTTTTGTTCAAAATTTCAGGTAAAATTAGAGAATGTTTAGACGCGAGTTTTTTTATTGTGTGCGTTTTTTTTTATGATTCCTACTCATACAATCAAGAGGGAGAAATAAAGAATCTAGCAGTGAGTCTATTAATTTTACGTGTAAATCAAAATTAATCAATCATCGAGAACCAGTTTCCCAAGATCAGTTTTTCATATTTATCATCATTCTATAATTGCGTTTTATTTAGATCGAGGATGCGATGGGGAGCTCATGGCAGTGGATATATTTCATCTCGATGGTCATCCTCGGAGCTTTCTTCGTGATGAATCTGATTCTCGGTGTGTTGTCCGGGTAAGTGTCGGAAAAAATTTTACTGCGCAAGATATCTTTATCGCGATAAATAAGAGAATTTTAAAAAGAAAATACGCGGTTCTTACTTAATTCATTATATCTTATAAAATATTGAGAATGATAATTTTCAATATTATATGTATTTCATCTAAACGTAAATATGCAGATGTAACGATACCAGTCTCGATCCTTTCGAAAGATATAACCCATTGGCTTGCGATATCTATCCTCGTGGAGTTTTACAATTCTCCATGAGGGGACGAGATAAAAATATCTTTTTCTTAGGTTCATACACATGTACACACGCACACACTTCGTTGCGTATCGATAAAGGATGCGCGGCTAATCGAGGCGTGAAAACGATATCGATGATAAGCGCGATTTAACTTCCTTCCCTTTTTACGTTTTATCCATCGCTTAACGCACAACACGCGCAAAAACACTGTCATTATCGGAAAGACCGCAACACACATGTTCGAAATACGTTTCATGTAGACTACTCGAAAATTATCCAGTCAAAATGTCAATGGGATGTTTTAAGTGTGCTTGCTTTCTCGGAGAAGTGATAAAGAAATCGGAAAAACGTAATTAAAATCTTCCTTGATTCGATTTGTGTGAATAGAATCTTATAGGCTAAAATTCATGTCGCCGAACGAAAACTTTTAATCGGAATGCGCTTTCATCAAGAGAAGCGTTACTCCTCGAATAATTAGATCCTTAGATTGCCGCTTCCTCATTTTTTTCATAAAAAGGGAAGATTGTAAGCGAGGAGGAAAGTCTTTTCACGATTTCTCGATATACGCGTGGATGCATTTGTAAAGTCATACTCGTTTGTCGAGCGAGAGATCGAACAAGCACGGGCAAATAAAGAGAGAACCTTCCCCTCTCCTTTCCCATCCTTTTTCACGCTCGGCTCGAGTTCCGTTTCATCGTCTTTGAATATTTCAATTACGCGCCTGGCGCATATCTCTAATCATAACGTGACGCAATTGTACGTGCACTCTGTCCCGTTTTTGGTGCAGTGAATTCTCCAAGGAGAGAGAGAAGGCAAAGGCGCGTGGCGATTTTCACAAGCTCAGGGAGAAACAGCAGATAGAGGACGATCTCAGGGGTTATCTCGACTGGATAACGCAGGCCGAGGATATCGAGCCGGAGACTGATGAACCGAAGCAAGACGGAAAAAGTATGTATACAATAAATATATACAATATAAATATTATATATATTTTTAAATAATATCGGGAACAACTATATATTTATGTAAAATAATTTTTAAACAAAAAGAAATTTATATTAAGTAATTTTCCGATATTCCCATAATATCGCATCAGTATTTATGCAACTGAATTTACACAATATTTATGTAAATGCGAGTGTATAGATGCATGTGAATAATCTGAATTTGGGAAGTTGTTCATTAAACTAAATTCTGCGAGATGAAATAACTTATTCCCCCTAGTTATGATATGCTAATTAATTGACGGAGTTTGATATTACATAGCCAAGCTACAAAACGAAATAGAGAGCACGGATCAATTAGAGGGCGATGAAGAAGGAATTCAACAAGAATCCGCCTGGAAAAAGAAAAAACGAGACCTAGAGAGGTAATCGAGTTTTGCGGAAAAATCGCTCTTCAAAATTTCTATCCTTTTAAGAAATTACATTGTAAGAAATAGTATATAAAAGTCGCGCAATAGAGAGCCATCGTCGCAAATATTTAGGGATCCTACATTGTGTTTGTGTTAGAATTGAGAAAATTCCATCTCTGAAATATCGTCGCGGAATTCTTACGCGTATGTATACATGAAACGTCTCAATGGAGATCAAAGCATCATTTATCCGAACAAATTCAAACAAGTTTGCTAAGCGCTCGTATAAACGCGAGCGAGTGGGCGAGAGCGCAAACTTTAGACTTACATTCGCGTATTGTGATGCGAATTTGCAGAGTGAACAGGCGGATGCGAAGAGCTTGCCGAAAGGCAGTGAAGTCCCAGGTCTTCTATTGGCTCATCATAGTTCTAGTTTTCTTGAATACCGGCGTTCTTGCCACAGAACATTACAATCAGCCACACTGGTTGGACGATTTTCAAGGTAAATATCACCTCTTGCTGCTTACTTAGCGGAAATAAAGTCGACTTAGCGTGTATTTGCCTTTAATTATAAACCGCTCCGGCGCCTGTAGTAATGCATTTCGTAACACGAGCTTCTTTCGTCTGCCATCAGAATACACGAACATGTTCTTCATCGTGCTCTTCTCCATGGAGATGATGTTGAAGATGTATAGTTTAGGTTTTCAGGTGAGTAATCTCATCATATATTTTCCGAAGATTCTTTTTTTTTTGTATAGAAAATATGGTAATATTAATAAATATTAATGTTATACATTATTCAATTAATTTTAATTCTTATTGTTTACTTATCAATATGTGTGACATATATTTATTAACAGAGATAAATCCGAGCATCTCTCTGTCTCTCTTTTTTTCGTGAAACAAAAAGACGTATATAAGTATCTTTTCTTAGAAAATATCTTGAACGTTCTTAATTTTCGGCTACTATAATTTTTTTCGCAGGGTTATTTCGTCTCGTTGTTTAATCGTTTCGATTGCTTCGTCGTGATCGGCTCGATCACCGAAATGATACTTACACGTACACATGTCATGCCGCCTCTTGGCATTTCCGTGCTTCGTTGCGTCCGATTGCTCAGGGTATTCAAAGTAACAAAGTGAGTACTTCTTTCTTCGAGATATAATTTATATTCAATGTAATTCTTGTAAAATTAAGCCACAACGATATTTAACATCACGATGTAATACGATGTAATAAGAATATTCCGGAAGATGCGAAACTTTGACATTCGAGATATAAGATGCGTTATTTTTTTCTCTTTGCAGATATTGGAGATCACTATCGAATTTAGTCGCCTCTCTACTGAACTCGATACAATCAATCGCCTCGCTGCTGCTCCTGCTTTTTCTTTTCATCGTCATCTTTGCTCTTCTGGGCATGCAGGTAGATTTAACGCGAAGACGTAGCGACGCGAAAACACACACACGGTTGACTTATTCCTTCAATGTTTATTCTTCGAATAGGTCTTCGGTGGAAAATTCAATTTCAACGATAATGAGGAAAAGACGCGTCACAATTTTGATAGCTTTTGGCAGAGTTTACTCACCGTGTTTCAGGTATTCGACCATTCTGTAAAGAAAGAAGCGCGGAATATTTTTTAAAAATTGCGTTGAATCGCTTTGTTCATCGCAAAGATATAACCGATTTCGCTCCCTATTTTCGGACTGCTATATTTTTCTCCTCTATTTTCTTACGCTTCTAAAAATAACATGGGATACATTTGATTTCTGCATTTCCCAGATATTAACCGGCGAGGATTGGAACGTTGTGATGTACGTCGGTATTGAAGCTTATGGCGGCGTCGCAAGTTTCGGCGTGCTCGCCTGCGTTTATTTCATTATCCTCTTCATATGCGGCAACTGTATCCTTTATCGAAAAGAGACGAATTCACGACGAGTAATCGTCACTTATCCTTCTCGCGTATTTTAAATCGAAAGTCGCGCTCGCTCAATGTAATATCGATTCGGCCTGATTTAATAAATTTTAATCGATCCTTGACAAAGATAGCAATGCAGACATTCTCCTGAACGTCTTCTTGGCTATCGCCGTCGACAATCTCGCTGATGCCGAGTCTCTAACTGCCATCGAAAAGGAGGCTGAGGAGGAGGTAAGTTTCGTTTCAATATAGTACATATGTAATACATAATGTATTAGATTGTCGATTTGCAGACGTGATGAAAATCCAATATAGATCCCATAATGTTTCGTTACATTCATTTAAGTGTCAAAATTTCATATTGAGAAAATTATCTCTCTCTTATCTTGTCAAAATTAAAGACTTTCATTAATAAAAATCGTATCCTTAAAAGAGTGATAATTTTTGCAATTATTATATATATATATGCTAAAATGTTCTTTATACAGTAGTTTGTGTCCATTGAAAGTCACGCTTTTTAATCCCTCCAGAAAATTAATGAATAATATTGAAATATATAATCACATACACACACATACACACATGTGCTATTCCTCGATGTAAAAAAAATATCGGAGCAATAAATCCGCGCGTATACGTCGTTGTTTTCCTGAAAGATTTCAAGATTATTATATAACTCTTCCAAACGAGCTGTTTCTTCCGGATTTCCATAAATGATCAGGCTAATTTGGCCGCCCTATCTCTTAAGAGAAGCGATGTCTTTTACGTCGCGCGAAGCATTTGCGGGAAATGAATATCGTGAGGCACATTATGCGAGTTCGCTCGAATGAGTCTAAAGGCATGACGACGACAGAACGACGCCTATCCTGGTAAATGAGCGTCGCGTTTAACGTTTGTACGGGACGATAAAAAGAACGTCGCCTCAATTTTCTTTTACTGTGCGTTGTATCGACGATGGCACGCGTGAAACTATCAGACTTATCAGGATTCTATCCCATAAAATTGATCGACCCGATAATATTAATTCATCCGATAAATTAATATCATTCTTTTCGTGTAAAAAAACGCCCTAATACTGTCTAGAATTAAATACAATGTCTTCTAGAATCCCGTTAATCTTTAATGATAGATTATTTCATCAATCACTCGTGTCGATTATATCCTAAAATAGAATTTTAATTACAATTTACACAAAGTTATAATATTCCCTGAAAAGTTTCTAAGAAAAAAATTGACTTTTTAAATACATCAAAGAATGTCGCGTTAGAATTATAGTAAAAATTTTGCAGTAATTTTTGTAACAGTAAATATAAAAAATATTGATTTAAATAAATGGATATAAAAATTATGATGAGTATTATACCGAGATATCTGAAGAAATGGCTATATATAACATGCGACTTTTTTTTATGAAGTGTATAGCTGTTGCAATTTACGCGACGCAAGCAATGCAATTTTACTATGTAAGGTAATTTAAAACCGTGCCGGCATAAAGTTCGAAAGCTGATTAATCATACTTCCAAGTGGAACAACATTGATGAAAAACTGTCGAATGCGCCGCGGAAATTCTACGCCGCTGTAAAGCGTACGTTTTTTTAACGTACAACGTACAATTCTCGTTGCATTAAGAATTACAATAAAGAATTTGTTATACATTTCGTTGCTTTATCCAATATGCAATTTCTGTATTCAATATTTTTAACAAATTTCCACACATATTGAATATATATTATATTTATATTTTTAATATTATTTTTTCTCGCACATTCCTTCACAGATATATAAATTTAATATATGTATAAATTTTTATATACACATTTTCATACTTTTTAATAATAAAAACATAAAAGTTATATGATGACGAATCAAATATGCGTACCATTCCTATTGTTATTTATCAATAGCAATCTAACAAGTAGTAAAGAAAGTATATGGCTTTCTTTTATAATGCAAGCTGCACCTCACTACACTTTTAAGTCGTGAGATCGCGGTAATAAAAGAATTTACTGCTCTCTATCGACTTAAATTTTTTATTATGGATTTTCATATCACGTTCGTCTTATGATTTATACGGGGATGGAGAAAAAGAATTCTCACGTTTCTATGCAAACAAATGGACATGTTTTTATTTTATAGATATGTAGGAATATTAATGAGATATGATTAATTTGTAAATTCAGCAAATGATGCTACGATAACAGCTTCAGATTCAGCACACAAAAGTACTAATCCAATTCTTTATTCAAATTTTTCATATGCTTCACAGATTATTTTTATTGACCGACGTTAATAAATTGTATATTGTGAAAAATGTGCTCCTGCAATACGTTTTATAAAAAGGATACTGTAATGAATACACAAGTAAAACAATAATTGAAATTAAACTAAATTTTATCGGCTAAATCAAACATAGTATGACTTTTGCCCATCTTTTACTACTAGATGATGTCTAATATTACAAATTCATAAATTATTTGTAATTTACAAAATTAATTGTAATTTACAAGTTGTGTAATAAGACATTTTTAATTAAAATTTTAATTTTAATTTTAATTTGATAAACGCGTTTCGAAAACGCGTTGTTGTATTTTATCGGAATACTTTTTGCACGAGATCATTGTTAGTTATTGCTTTCGTCTGAATCACTTGACAGATAATCTCCCCTTTCTACCTTTTAGGCGGAGAAAAATAAATCTCGCAGCGGTTCACCGACAAGGGACGAAGTCAGCGGCGAGGCCGGCGATGACGGTGGCGAGGGGACCGGTGGGGAGGACGAGGGCGCTGGCTCAGATCTCGAACAAGATCCTAACGAGACAATGGAGGACTACGAAGCCGCACTCGATACAGAAACGTAAGCCCTTTTATCGCGTAACGCGGCGTAAGTTGTAATAACAGCAGCGTGTGTTATTACGTCGACGAGAGATTAAAGAGTGCGGTTATTAGCGCACACCCCTCTCTCCTTATGCAATGCTATTATGATCGGTAATGCATGGGAGGATTCGTAAGAATCGATAATCGTAATTCAAAGATTAACAACGCTCGGCATTTCGTTATTAACTATGCCCTTTCGTGAGTAATTTTTAAATTCTCAAACTGCTAATTTATTTTAAAAATTTAGTGAATTTTTTTTTAATAATGAGATTTTAATTTTCGAGATATTAATGTCTTGTCACTATAAATCAAATCATTTTTATAAAGATATAATTGAAGATTTCTATCTGTTTCAAGATAAGATATTAATATCTCGATAATTATTCATCATTAAATTTTGGTAAATATATATATATATATATGTGTGTGTGTCACTACATTTTTAAATAAATTTTTTAATAGATAAATATATATAAATATATATTTCTCTATATATGTTTTATAGATGCCAAATAAAATTTAAAGAATGTCACAAATTCGAGAAGATATCATTTTCAAGAAAGCCAACTTGTTTAGAACGTTAATCTATGTTGATTAATTATCGCTGATTATAGATCAGAGAAAAGCGAGGATATGAATACGCACAAAGTGCGACTCAATGTTGAGTCTGATGAAGAAGTGGAAGAAGAAGAGGAAGGTGAACAAGAGGAAATGCAAGGTGCTTTCATTATCTGAATTTTCCTACGTTTGTTTCAGGAATTAATAATAAAATATGATAAGATATTTTTCGCGATTAATGTAATGATTTTAAGATATAAATGTTTCTATTATAGAAATGCTAAACTGAATGAAATAAAATATTTGTAAAGTTATAAAAAAAAAGATTAAATTCTCTTTCAGATGACGGACAAGAAGTATCGGCCAGGCCGCGAAGAATGTCCGAGTACAGCGTGGCCACCAAAAAGGAACCGATACCAGCTGGTTCGGCATTCTTCATTTTTTCAAACACCAATAGGTATAAAAAAGCTTCTTGAAGATTTTTATTTTCTAATAATAAAAATAAAAGTGAAAGCTAATTCGAAATCGAATTTTCTCAATTTTTTCCGAATGTCTCTCTTTCAAGCAACTTATCTCGATCGTGTCTCTTTTTGATCGTTTCGCAGGTTTCGCATCTTCTGCCATTGGTTCTGCAATCACAGTTACTTCAGCAATGTGATACTAATCTGCATTATGATTTCCTCCGCCATGTTAGCCGCCGAGGATCCGCTGAATGCTTCGTCGGACAGGAATCAGGTATTTTAATCGCATCGAAAGATAAATCGAGAGATGTTTGATTCTTTTTTTTTTTTTTTTTTTAGCAACCCCATTCTCTGAATCTTTAAACGCGGAATTATCGAGAAATATCAACATAAAAATGATCTATGAAATAAGTGTGGCGTATATACGTCTGGTATGTTGCAGATATTGAATTACTTTGACTACTTTTTCACTACTGTCTTCACGATTGAAATCTGTCTCAAAATGGTCTCATACGGCTTCATCATCCACGAGGGCGCGTTTTGCCGGTCGGCTTTTAATCTGCTCGATCTCCTCGTCGTTTGCGCTTCTCTAGTTTCCATGTCTGTCAGGTATATATCTATGTATTTTCTTCGCTACAATTTATCTTCTCTTTATTAGATATTAATATTTCTAACCCAGTTTTGCAAGTAAAAAGTAAAAAAATATAAAAAAGCTATTTTTTAACTATCTATACAGCTATGATTATAATTGTCTGTTGAATTTTTCATTAAGACACTATATATAATTTTATATCTATTTATAATTATAATTGTGCAATTTTTCATATCATAGTATCATATGAAAGTTATATGAATTGTGAATGAAGATCAGAATTTCGTCGAAAAAAGTTTGATTATTTGAAAGATAAAGCACGCTTTTTAGATAATTCATTAAATTTAAGTAAGCATTTAATTGAAGGTTTAGTATAATTTCTTTCGTCGCGTTTATTTTATATTAATACAACTATTTATCGTATATATTTTTATGTATATATTTGCAGCACTGGCGCATTCTCCTTCATCAAGGTGCTCCGAGTGCTTCGTGTCTTGAGGCCGCTGCGTGCCATCAATCGCGCCAAGGGATTAAAGGTATCTCTTTCATTTGTCTCACCTATCCGCAAGTCCGCTAAAACCGGCCCGATTCACACAGCATACGCGTCCTTACAGTAGAACGTAATAGTAACGCCAGAGGCATAATATACCGTAATGTCCACAGCCAGCTAAATTAAAGAGTACGCTCCCGTTAGTCCGACCGTGATTGCCATGCGAAGTCGCGATTATTCAATACAAATGGTGGAAGAGCGCCGAGCTAACTTTGAAAAAAGCGCGCAAACGAGCTATTTCCGTTCCCACATACCGAGGATTCGTATCACGCGACAATTTATTTTTATTTATTTTTATATACAAGATACGAATATTATTTATCATCAATTTCTTTTTTCTAACCGATCAACAAAAGTCTCCGTAGCAATTTCTCCGCAAAGAAATATTAAAAAGCCGTTCTTTCACTTAGAAAAACACTTCTTTTATTTAGAAATTGAGAAATAATCTCGAATTCTTAATTAAAGAAACATAATTAGAGAGGTACGGTTTTTGATTCGCTCTCTACGACGACAATGCTTTCCGCGACTTCCTCGAGACAGCTACTCAAACTCGTCGCCGAGAAAATACGCGCTAAAATAAGATTGCTAAAAGCGTTTAACGCGATAATTTCCATCTCTCCATCTCACCGAAGGGCGAATATATATATTATGAATTAATGTTGTGAACCCAGCACGTAGTACAGTGCGTCATCGTAGCGGTAAAGACTATCGGAAACATAGTCCTCGTCACCAGCCTCCTGCAGTTCGTGTTCGCCGTCATTGGCGTACAGCTCTTCAAGGTAGGATATCGGGCCCCGATACACCGACACGGCCTCGAAAAAGCTCTTCTCCGAACCTCTTGTAGTATACATTAGAGTGGCATAATGTTTTATCAATTGATACTCTCCCCCCGCCCTTCCCCTAGCCCTCGCCCCCTACTCTGTCTTTAAAAAAAAAATCTCAGCCCTAAATTCCCATCCTTTCCTTTCTCTCTCTCTTTCTTTCTCAAGACCAGATTTCCACATTTATTCATCCGTTTGCCCACACATTTTTTAATGCAATCTCAGCCAGAAAAATGCCAGAATAATTCACCATCACCATATATTTACACCACTACTATTACAACTATACCTAGCTACGCCTTTACTCGATATCTCGGCAGCTTCTTCGACGATTATTTCCGCTCTGTTGTGAAATACGCAGTTGGGTTCGTAATCGATTAACGGCTGTTTCCGCGAGCATTATTATCTATTTAAGTTGGAGTGATCTTGACGAAAAAGCACAACTAAATCTCTCTGTTTTTCGAGAGAACGTATGCATTCAAAACCTTTTCGCTTTTACAATTAAATCAAATATTTATTATGCGTTTTTCCTGCACACTGAATTTTTATCACGCGCACGTGACTTTGACGATTTTTATCACCGTTTTGCACACCTTCATACACGTTTGTGTGGATATACGACCCGGATAAGTTTCATCAATGATCGTCGCTGAAAGCTTTCATAGAATATCCCAGCTCGCGACAATATCGATACGGATCGATGATTCGCGCGCGATTCCGCGCCAACCTACGGAATTAACGAATCCATGGTCCAATTAAAGAGAACGTCCCGATTCCGACATATATCGATATGCGCGCGCGAAAGCGACACGTGGGAAAATAATCGTCGGAGTGGCGCGAGCACGAGGCGAATGTTGTTTTCTCTGACAGATGCACCTCTGGGTACCCTCCACCCCCCCCCCCTGTGAAATAAGCTGTTTTTTGGCGTGTAACTTACTCATTAATTGGGTTTCTTGTCTCGATACTCTCCCCGAAATCTCTCGAGACCACGATTCCGTTTTTTTTTTTGTGTTTCCCTCTGTATAAAATTGTATGTCAGCACTTCGTTTATTATCAAAGGCCAACTTGATTGTTCGCCTTTATTGTCCCGTTTTTTTATATTGATGTAGCTCATTCAATAATAAACCGATGTTGGATCGTCCGATAGTCGCGTCATTCATATATGTATAACTTGACGATCCTTTTACTTCTATATATTTTTTTTAAAATGATGTATTTATAAATGTCCAAAAATACCGCAGTAAAATTACATATTAGAAAATTTTTTAAATAACGAGAAGAGAAGAGAAAGAATAGGTTTTTTTTATCAATTGAGAAAAGATTTATTATGATGGAATACAGAGATAATTCTTCATAATATAGATTATATACCGTGTAATTTTATATATTTATTTCTATATATTATTTTGCTACGTCAAAACTGGGCCAAGTACTTACTTAAAACTTGAAAAAAAAAAAACACGCGAGAGAGAGCTTTATGTGAAATTTATTTGAAAGGCTCTCTCGGCTCAATCAAATTATCTACACGCTATAAAGCTATTTATGTTTCAATACACTTAATAATATATAGTATGTCTTCGATTTAGTATAAAAGCAGTTTTTTAGTAACAGTTTTCGATGATTTAATTATGAGAAATGTGATTTACTATTTTTTTTGGATGTATAGCATGATTATAATCCAAATCGCGATAGAGATATATCAACAGATATATATGCATGTCGTTTTGAATATTAAATAAAATTCCCAGAAAAATGCAAAAATCTCATATCACTGTGTTATCATTCGTTGATAGCATTAAAGCAAGAAAAACGCTGTTGTGATTTCACGTTCGTAAAAAAATGAAAAAAAAAAAAAAAAAACGAACACCGTTCTCGTTAGACTATAAAAACAAAAACAGTTACAGAAATATTATATCGCATAGTGATTTTTTACATACGTATGTATGTACGATTTTGTTCAGAATTATTACGAAGAGACAGAACAATTTTGTCACATACACATATACCTACATACATACACACACACACACACACATACACATATTAATATATGATACGATTTTCCGCCGCGAAAGTTTCTTTCATGCGAGTGCGATTCTCTGTCGTTTCAATATCGACATGTTTCGATATATCCTATTTTTTCAGAATCATATTGAATTATAATTGTTTATTAGAAATCATTTTTTTTTAAATAATGAAAATAATTGGAGCAACACAACAATACAATCTATAATATGGGCTATGATTTTGAAAAGAAAAATAATCTGTAAAAAGAAGATAAGATCGAGTGAAATAATTAAAATCTTTGGGTAGAATGGATAATACAATGTCTTGTATAATGATAAAAAAATGTGTAGTGATCGTAATCTATCAATATTTTTCGAATTGCAAATCCGATCGGATAACTATTCGCACGTTTATTGTGATAGTTTTGGAATAACTATATTATTTTCTCTTATAAAAAATCACACAGCATTATCTTATTTATTCAATAGTCTCGATTACTCCATTTGATCTTATTGTAGTAGATCGTGTCGATGTAATATAGTATTATATGAACGTATACATATAGTGGATGAGCGATTAAGGGGAGATGAGACGGCAGCTCAAAAGCAGATCGGGGATAGTAGAGTGTAAACAAAAAAAAAGGGGGGGCTTTACGCAAGGCCTAACATGCCTTTGCTCTTTCAGCTTTCGTTTTTTGCTCCCATTAGCTAGACACACCTATGATATACCCTTTTATATATATATATATACATATATATTTCTCTCTCTTCTTCTTTTCACCATCACGAGACTTTTTGCTGCTCGAGATTTGATAAATTATATCGTTGTACAACGACACGAAATCAATCACGCATTAACACGCACAAATCCACTTACATTCACATATATACGTATATTTATAGTGCGTAAAAAAATGTTCAAGCTTTAGGGTCTTTGTGGATTGCCGTTTAAGACATTCGTCGTTTCAGTTTGAATCTCATCCACGTCGTCAAATCGATGTCTTTTGATGATTTTCTTAAACTCTGAAAAAGAGAGAAAAATCGTGCGTGAGCTGATGGTCACGTCCCGTGCAGTTTTTTCCTTTTTTCAAAGTTCAAGAAAGCCTTCAAAGGATTTGATGACGTGGATGAGATTTAAATCGAAACGACGAATGTTTTATAAACAGCATAAAGAAAAACTTCCCTTTGCTTTTTAAGAAATGAGAACGCGTCGCTGAAAAAGATATTTATTGATGTTCAAAGAGACAGACTCTAGCTTGAAAAAGATATTTGTAAATAAGATTTCAGATTAGCCAATTATCTTTTACACCGTTATTTCGGGAACTCTTTGATTGCACTCTTTGATCGTAATGTTTAAGAAATTACTGATGTCTTAAATAAAAATATATAAAAGAAATAAAAGATAAATTTAATTATTTGGTTATATATATTGAGGTACACAGTTTTTTGTGCACTATAGATAATCGGGGCAGATCGATACGAGCCAAAAAAATCATGCAAGAGTTATCGAATTAACAATTAATAAAAAATGGACATATGTATGCATATATTATATAACTTGAAACATTTTTTACTTTTCTTTAAAATATATAGTTACATAGAATTGTACGTAGCATGGTTCTAAAATAAAGTTGAGACTACTATATAACGTATATTCCTCGATTTTTTTGTGGAAACAGAGGAACCCCTCTATAAAAATATACGCAGTTGCTCTCATGATTATTTAAAGATATCCTTCGATATGCGGCTCGAGCGGTGCCGATCTCCCCCCAACAAACATACCCGACCATATATACTTCGCGGATACATGTATACACCCACAGAGGCATTTATATCCTTCAATTTTTATCTTTTTACACGCACACATTTCTATCCAACCAGCTAAAAAATTGAAAATAAAAAAGAAACTCACGCAGCCTTCGTGATTTTAAGATTGAGTAGTAGAGGATATTTGAGAATTGCATGCTTGTGCCGGCTGAGCGTTGCTGAGTGGTGTGCCGCTATATTAACATGAGAGAGAAAGGTGAAGGAGAAGAAGAAAAGGACACTGTTCCTTTCTCTTTCCTTCTCGTAAGCTTCACTCGCCGCGGGACTCTGCCGCCGGATAATCGAAAGGGGGAAAGATCACGAAAAGCGGTCCCTATACGCGCGCCTAGACCCATAATTGCTGCAAAAGGAAGCACCACGGCAATTTCCTTTTCCGTTCGTTTTCGTAGGCATAGAAATCGTCGATCCCGATCGTCCCGATTTTGCTTCGTAAGCCCGGCTTAATGTTAAATGCTACGAAAATCGGTATCAAAAATTATTACATCGAAGATTTAGATTGAAAATTGAAGATTCAAATTTGAGACCGATTAGAAATAAAAGGAGCAAAGATCTCTTTGTCCTGATTGGTCAAATTTGAATCTTCATTCTTTAATCTTAATCTTCGATGCATGTTTTGTTATTATGCTTTTATTATGGAGTTGTACAGAGATAGAAACAAATTAGAACTGAAAAAGTTTCTCGAATCATTATTTAACAAAACTTTCGACTCTTGTGATTCAGGGGCAATCGAGATCGATAAAAAAAGATTCGTATAGTCTCATAAACTTATTAGACGAGCTCGATAGAAGCGGCTATTAGATGAATCAATGTTGATTAGATTAAATTAGGCGTTACAAATCTCAAATTTATTTCGATTAGCTCTATATCGCAAAACGACGATCGTTTTGGGATCACGTTAATCCTTTATTGAACTTGTCATCGCATCCTCTTGCGAAGCTTAATAGATATCATTAATTTTCCCATCGAGATCTCTATAGAAAGCTTCTTAAACACTCGCGGACAAGAGTATCAAGTGTGCTTCGTAAGAGATATTAAAGTTCTTCGCTCGATAAAGGATATAACGAAATATTTCGCCAGCACCATATTGACGCAGGATATCGAAATATGGAATTCGGCGTTTAATAG